TTCAGAGGTGCCAATGTTTCCTCCCCTCCATACACTTCACCAGATGCCACATAGATGTGGACATCACTTCCATATCCTAGTGCTCTCAGCATCAGACCTACTTCCTCTGGAGTGAGTGGGCATCTTCCTTGCCTCCTTTGCCTATCAGGATTTGTTTTCTGCAAATTATAAAAAATATATATTTGTTTTACGCTTCGACTTTTCAAATGAACCAAACTAATACTGAAATTGTCTGTGGATTTTATAAGTTATGATGTGTAACCTTACATGTAAAGTTTTCCACCTCCTACGAATCGCACCTAGTTCAGTCCTTTCCTTTTCACCTCCACCATAATCACATCCTGAGAATGCAAGCATATCCGGTTCAAACCTGTAACAAAATATTGCAGCATCAATACTTATCTCATACTCATGCTCATCTTTGTGATTTTTTGATTGAAAAAGCTTGTCCTACATCATAATGCAGTCATTTGCCATGGTACTTACACAACATCATCATGCAGAATAATGGGTTGAGGGCTTGCTTCAAAAATCATGCATGACAAACACTTATAACAGCACATATGTATCCACTCAATGATGATCCCATCATTTATGATGTGCCATGTAAATAAAGGAAATAGAGTCGCATGCATTTAGTTACAGAGGTATGTTTGTACATTTGCATCATTGATGGCATGATAATTGGTAAACCCATGTGATGTAAACATGGCCATAAGTATGGAAGTCCAAGAAAACTGAAGCAGAATATTGTGGGACTTACCTCAAATGCAGGGCAATATAATGCTTGCTTCTCAACCTCATTCGATTTACAAGCATTTTACCCAATTGAAGAATAGGATCGGTGAACCTCAAGGCATGGTAGTTAACTCTACATCTTAACTTCTGCATGTCTGTATCTAATTTGTTCGCAAGCCTGTAATCAAACTTGGTGAGCTGTATGGCCTGTTTGACAACATATGAATGGGAGCATCTACATGAATATTGAAGTCGAGAAGATAAGAAAGGACAAAAGGGAATGGAGAAAGGTGAAAGCAAAATATACTACAATTGAAATTGATCATAGCAAAGTTTTAAAGAACAGGAAACTTACATGCCTTTTCAAAAGAACAGGCAATACACGATTTTTGTAACATGTTCCACTACATTTCCTTGGAACACGCATAGTGTGTGGAATCCAAGATTTTCCTCCCCTTCTAGGAAGCTGCTTTATGATTTTAACATCTTTTGACAG